TAATGATTTTCTCTTAATGGTGTCAGTGACTGGATTACATCCAGAGAAAAACTGAGTTGATGCAAATAATATATATTATTCTTAAGATAAAAAGTATATAAAAAAGATTATCATCAGCATAGAGAGACTTAAAATGATCAGTGAGTTCACATCTGGGAATATTTACATACTGCTTTTGCTGAACAGCTCAACTGCACAGACAAATGAGTGAAGTTTTAAAGTTGCACTGTGTGTAATAACTTGTCCTCCCTGTTTACATACATGAGAGGGTCAAAATATTAGAAACACCTGAATATAATGTAATCCAGTGCAACATCACTGACCTCAATGTAAGAACATATAATTATCAGCTCTATGACAGTGTCAACAAGAAGTGAACATTATCGGCATCATTAAAGTAGATTTGTAATTCATTATTTTATTTATACATAACATTTGTATGGATTTCATTATAATGTACAGGTGTATGTCTGCTTCATCAATAATACAAAATGTTTTGGGTTATTTATGGTTTGAGTACTGCAGCCTGGTATATGTGAAAGATTAGCAGTAACATTTATCTATATGAATTTATTTGTTTTTGCAGTATCATATTTCATAAAATGCTCATGTTAAGGTCCCTTCACACAAAAATGTGCTCATAAAATAATTATAATTATAATTATAATATTAAAATAATTATAATTATTATTATTTTTATTATTTTTTTTAAACCAGCATTAGTCCTAATCATACATATCAAATATTAATGTATTTTTAAAAAAAAGTTTTAACCTCTAAATTACAAAAATGTGCTCATCAAAATCAAGCTTTACAATATTCTTAATTAATATGATTTTCTACTTTCTTTGAATTTTATTTTTTAAACCTGCATCTGTCCTAATCATAGATACCAAATATTCATTCTTTTTGGTGCTTTAACAAAGAACCTCACCTATTGCCCGTGTAACATTTCCACTTATTTATTATACACTACTCACAAAAGGTTAGGGATATTCGGCTTTCAGGTGACATTTCAGAATGCACCTAAAATGCACCATAACCTTTACAGGTGAACTTAATTTGACCTTCTCTAAACCTTTGAATGCACATGTTCAACTGTTGTCATCGTCGTCGTCTTGCATGGGCCAGGGAGCATTTGGACGAGGAACCAGTGGGCCTCAGTGCAGTTCTCTGATAAAAGTCGATTCACACTCAGCAGAGATGATGGCTGCCAACGCTGTTGGAGACGTCAAGGAGAATGCTATGCATCAGAACATAACCTGAATAATAATAACAACATAACAGAACAACAGCAAACAGAACAGTTAAAGGGTTGCATTCCGTTAATTTCAGAGCGGTGCAGGGGCCCCTGTGTAGATTTGTGTTTTATGTATATTATACTAAAAAATGACGTGGTGCTTTGAACGTTTGCATAGAAATTACACGTGAAGCGGAGGATATGCAAAAGGTGCCACGCATTCGGTCATACGGTAATGCAACGTGCACGCTGTAGATGCGTGCTCATGCACACACTCACAATCACATGCATACATTCCCACACACGTAGTCACGCACCCACACAAACTTAAGGCCACGTTGTTTACAATAGGCTAAAAATAAAAATAAAAATTTCAACACTCAAAAATGCACAACCCTGCATAAATCATCAACAATATGCATGAAAAAGGATAAAATATGGTAGAAATTAAAAGTCAAAAACACAAAAATGTGCTTAGGTGCAATCAAGTTTTAAAGGTTTCATTGAGTACGACCTAGACTCTAAACTGCTCTATATAAGGTCTGTCCTAAGATAAATTCTGTTATAATATGGCGCGATACAAATCAAATTCTTCTATAATAACACAGAATTCTCTCATCTCATTCTCAACAATAATTAACCTTAGGAAATTATGAGATGAAAAATGTCTTTCACACCAAATTATTTTGTGTTTTTGTGTCATAATTCCTTGTTAAACAATTTTGTTTCTGATTGAAGATTTGCTCTAAAAGTCTTAAAGTAAACTGTAAATGTGTGATAAAACACTGTTTCAGTGATAATAAAATTATGCGCTCAATTGTATGATAAATATTTTCACAATTAATATAATACTGTTTTATACAATCTTCAGTTTTCTTTTTAGTGAAACCTCTGTTGTTTTAGTGTCAGTGCAGTTACATATACTGGGTAAACTGGGAATGTGTTT